TCAACTTTTTCTAAATAAGAGCAAGTTGCATCTGTACAGGTAAGTATATGATAATTGACTAGTTTAATTGTGTTGTTACAGCGTTCTTGTAAGTTGTTAGGTTTTTCAAATTGTAAATTTGTAGGTATGGTTTCTTTAAGATGTAAGATAAATTGTTGCCGGAATTGAAATTTAAGTGAGTTAAAAACTTTAGTTTCATCAAGGGACTCAGTAAATTGTCGATTGTATAGAGGGATTGTTAAGCAACTTTCATATTCTTGATTTTTATATAATATATATATAAATAACTATTTTATTAGTATCTCTTTTTTTAAATACCTTTGGCAAATCAACATTGGTGCTTGTAAAACTATTTATAAAACTTAATCTGGGTTTTCAAAAGAACTAAAAATAGATAAAAATGTTAAGTTCAATTGGGATATTCATTCTGAAGTTGTAACAAATGATATATTAGTAGTTTGTTGGCAAAATAATAGGCCTGTAACAATATTGACAACAATTCATAGACTTGTTAGTAATAAATAGAAGGTGGTGCAAGAAAGATAATGGCCAAGAGAAACAAGCACTAATGCAGTAAAAGTATATACTGTATTTGGTACTAAAACAAAAAAAAAATTAATAATTCTAAGAGTTATTGATAATTACAACAACTACATGAATAGTGCAGACCAACTATAGTCTTACTGCAATATACAACAAATAACTTAGCAAAACTAGATGCCACTTTTTTAGATATAGCTATTGTTAATGCATATCAGATTACTAAAACTTTAGAATCAACAAAAAAGCATAAAGAGTTTTGACTTGAGCTTGTTTAGAAACTCATTGATTTTGCAAATAATAGTAGTACCATTTAGCTAAAAAAAAATTCAAGAAATTCAAAAGAGTTAGAATTTAAAAAAATTGTAAAATAATTAAAGACAACAAAATATTTTGAACTTTTGGATAAGCAGCTTCTATCTGAAAACCACTTAGTTAAGTAGAGACTTGAACATACAGCATGTCATTGGTTACATGGCTAGTAAATAATAGTAAACTTGATATATATTATAAATTACTAAATTGAAGTTACTTTTGGTGTATAGCATATAATAAACCTCTTTGTTATAATAACAACCAGAATTGTTTTTCATAATTCCATATCAATAAATAAAAATGTTAAAGAGGTTTGATGGCTTTCTTTTATAAATTAAATTAAATCAAAAAAATCAAAAAAAATAGGATTTGTAGTAGTAAAATTTTTTTTTAAAACTTTTTCGCTTTTTTGAATGACTTATTCACATAATATAAAATACTTTTGAATAAATATGTTCAACACAGATTTTAAATTAAAAATTAAGGTAGAGTTGCATTCAACTTAATAATTCTAAATAAGCACTATTAAATAAAACCAAATCCAACATAAAGTTAATAAATTACAATAAAAATAACTATTATTTATCTAATATGAATAATGAAATTCAAATATTAAAAAAAAATAAAAGCTCAATTCTATATATGCTATACTGATACTTCAAAATGTACTAATATTATTGAGGTCAAATTAGCCTAAGTGACTCAAAATTTCTTTTATATAAAATTTTCTCTATTGAATTGCTGCATTTTATATAACTTAAAGTTGTATCTTTATTTAATATGTTTATTATAATTCATATTGTAATTAAGGGGTAAGCTGTATAACTTAAGGTTTTAAAGTTCTTTTTAATTAATTTAATTAGACTATTAATAAAAAAAATTTTTTTAACTAATTTTTGCTTTAATTATTTTAGCATACAAATTTGTATGCTAAACTAGATGGCTTAAGAAATAGATTAGACTAAAAAGTTTGATGAAATTTTTTTACAATACAATTCAAGTAGTTTTTAACTTCAAAAGCTTTATGTTTGGTATTATCATCTAATATCTGCAATTTATAAATATGGATCAGTAAATAGTATGACTATTGAGACTTATGAAATTCTTCATAAAAATTATATAAAAAAACTTATTATATGTTAAATAAAAGAGATTATATAATAAAAAAACTTGAATGCAAATTATTAACTCTTTCTGATGATTACTTATACCAAATTCTGCTGCAAACAATTGATTATTATTTAATATATTATTAAATAAACTACCTTTGGATGTCTAAGTAAAGTTGTTCTGATATAATTATACACTTAGGTGGCCTAGTTATATATCTTTAAACCTTTTATTTATTGAGATATTTTTATTAAATACTATAACCTACTTATCTCATACATCTATAATAACTTCAATAGATATAATACAAAAGTTTTTTGGCTAACCAATCTCAAAGATCAAATATTCAATAAACCTAAATCTTACTGCTTTGTTTTTACCTATATAAATAACATTTTATAGATTGTATTTTTATATCAAGAACTTTCACAAATTCTCTTTATAGCAAAATCTTTTTACAACATGACTAATATTCAAATTAATTCTGTTAAATAAATATTTATAACTAATAATTTTTTAACTAATTATAGTCTTATTATATACTACAGTTACTTATTTAAACTATTTAAGTTTCTAGAATCCTGGTTTATACTTAACAACAAATAAAAAAAACTAAGCTTATTACAGCTGAATTATTATATTTTGTTAAAATTACAAGTACTAAAAAACTACTAACACATATGCATAATATATTATTAATGCAGTTATTATTTCTACAATTGAATACTGCCTTCACAATATTGTTCTTAGTTAAATTATATATAACAAAATTCTCATCAACCATATTGAACTTATTAAAAACAAAGCTAAGCTCAGTTATAGGCTTGTATAAAAAAGAATGGTTGCAAATGAAGTAAATATTTTTGGATTGTTGTGTTTTATAAAGAATACAGTAATAAATATAATAATTGATTTTTTTAAAGTTTTTTTAAATATAGTTATAATTTTGTCAGAATTTGAATTATTTTTCTAAATAAACTTAACTAGAAATTGAGATCTTTCTTCTATTATTTTATGAATTATATTGTAGAATCTAGTTTTAAAAACTAGATAATCATTAATTTTGAATTTGATTTTAATTTAGACTTAAAATTATATAGATGTTGTTTAAAAAAATTAAAAATTTTTTTAATAAAATATGTTTGTAATTGTGATTTATTTTTTATTTCTTTAGTTACAAGAAAGCTGGCAAGCTAGTTAAATAATAGATTGGCTTTAATTTTTTATTGGATTTTATTAGTGTTAGGTTGTATTTACTATTGCTATTGTTTATCTAATTGTTGTTGTTATAGTAATTGTTTATCAGAATGTAATAGTTGTTGGTTATCATTATTAATTGTATTGTTGTCTAAGTCTATAATATTTAGTTTACTACTATTACTTATAAATAAGGTTTTAAAAATGAGTTCAAATACTAATAAGTTGTATAATTAAATTAATTGTTAAAGTTTTTGTATAAATGTAGAAAAAAAACTTAATTGTTAGATAAATTATTAGATATTTAAATATATTTTGTAATGAGATTTGTTATTGTATAAGATTGTATCTGCTGTCAGATAATGTTTGTTATTTATTTCTCTACAGACAATAGGCAAGTTGCATTTAGTATATAATGTTGTATATAGTAGATGAGGGTGATATTGTAGGTATAGTAGAATAAATTTATTAGAATTTGTAATATTATTTACTAAAGTTTTTTTATTTTTAGATTTTTTAATAATAGAGATAGCTTAATATTGTTTGTAAGTTAGTTAGTTGTTAAGATAAAGTAAATGTAATACTTGTTACAAAAATATATAACAATAGACTAAATTCTGGTGCTTAAAAATAATAACTATTTTGAGTCTCTTTTTTGAGTTCTATATTTGAACAATTAATTGGCTACTTGTTTACAAGAATAGAACTTAATGTATTTTTATATTTTTATAAATATTAATACTGAAGCTTTTAGAACACTTCTAGTAAAAATAATCAAAATCAATAGTATCAGATGCAATTGTTAATAAAGTTAGTATTTTGTTTTAAAAATAGGGTTTGTAAGTATTTTTTAAAAAAATTTAATTAGTTCAAAGATTTTTAAACTAGTAAAAAGATTTTAGAAAAAAGTATAAACTTTAAATAAGCAAATTAAATATTTAGAAAATTCTAATAGGTATTAGAAAAGTAAAATTTTTAGGACAACCTAGCAAGTTTTTCTAAAATTACTAATAAAAAAACATTTAAAAACAGGTTTTAATTTTGCTTTTTTATTTGCATTTTTTTAAGTTTTAGTTTGTTTTAAATAAAATTATATTAAAATTTCTATTTTGATAAGCTAAAGAACTTTTTTTTTAATATTAAAAAATAAGTACTTTTAACTTAGACTTTTATTAATAGTATATTTCAATTTTGTAATTATATTACAATAGTCACAGAGGGCAATATAAAAAGAGTATATAACATGATGGTCAGACCCAACATACAGGGCAGACTATGGTACCTTGCACAGCTGTGAGAGCTGAGCATACAGTGATCGACTCTGTAGAAGACAATTTTGAAAGATCATTTACAACATCTTTAATCTCCTATAATCTTTATACATGCTTTAACAAATTCCTTCTTTATTATCGTTTACTACTTCTCCCTTATGGTCAAACTATCCAAACCCTAATTCAACATATTGACAAATATAACAACAACAAAACTGTATCTAGTATTATATTTTTTGTTAACTCATCTTATAATGAAACTCACATATATCTTCCTAATGATACTCTTTTATCAGATCATATTGTTATTGTTTCATATCTTCTTCCTATATTCTATAATCTTCCTCTCAGTTCTAACTCCTTCAATCCTACTTCTATCCCATCTGACTTATTTTTTGATAACTATTCTTTAACTCTTAATTGTAATTCTTTTTTATCTTTATCAAACCCAACTTCACATCATCTCAATTTAACCATTGCTACACACAATGTTAGAGGCTTCAACAAACCTACTAAAAGAGAAGCTTAGTAAGATTACTGCCTTAACTACAACATATCGATTGCAAGCATTACAGAAACTAAAATCTCTGACAAAACTAACCTCTTCTTTTGCAATAATAACTTTTTTACCTACTATTGGTCTAACTCCTCTACTTCTATTAAAGGCACTACTATTATGATCTGCAACAATCTCAAACCTTATATCCATAGTATTCATATCCATTCTGAAGGTGCTATAGCACTTGATATCTTCTTTCAAAATAATATCAAGCTCTGCATCATCTTAGTTTATCTGTTATCAACTGATATTACTACTCATAACCAAATTCAAAATACTGTCATTAACTGGATCTAACAAGCCTTTTAACTTCACATTTACTCTATTATTTCTGGTGATTTCAATATATAAGACAATACATACAGCTTCTTATCTAAATATAAACTTATTAATTTTCTTAATAACATCAATATATATGATATTGGAGCCTACCTTAACAACAAACATTCTATCTGGTCTAACAATACTAGCAGTAGTTGTATTAATTATATTTGGACTGACCAATTCAATATACAATTTCTT